GCTGAGAAAATGAGGCACTGACCAGCAGCACAGCCATGGCGAAAAGGAGGTGATGAGGAAGAAGAAACAGCCAAGCCCAGCAACAGGAGGTGAGGTGTGTGTGGTGGAGCTCCAGTGCCCCGCTTAGGGCTGCGGGCATTAAGGAGAGGATTTGTGTGGGAAAGAGAGGATGAGGGGTGGCAGGATGTGATAGCTTTGTCAAGTCTGCCTTTCAAACTTGGAGAAAAATTGTGGATAGGGATGATGTTGATTCTCCACTGTTTTAAATGACAGAACTCTATTGTCTACAAGAGAAAAGGGCAACTTTGGATTTTGATGCTCAAAATCATTCAAGTCTTGTTCACAACTCTGTTTCCAGCCTCATCACTCCCACTTCTCCTTTCCCTGCAATGTGCGCACGCACACACACACACACACATACACACACACGTGAACACGGCAAGCATTCACTCTATTCGTTTGTTTCTGCACTGCACGTCTCAGGGACCACGTGATGCCTGAGGATGAGAAATGTTTTATCCCTGTCTGGGCCCACCTGGTGCAGAGAACACAGCGAACGAAGATGGATAGTGAGACAAAGCATGGTGCTGCCCCTGCCCAAGGTGTGCCCTTTCCTGTTGCCCTCCTATGTGCCTCCGTTCCTCTGCCTATGTGGCACCCTTGAGGAAAGAGAATGAATTCCTCCTATCCCTCAACTTACACAGTGTGTTGAGGAGATGGCATGCTGCCTTTAACCATCCATGTCTGCTCCACCATTCTGGAGTAACCACAGAAGGCAAGGTCAATGTTTGATTCATCTTCACACCTTCAAGGCCTCATACAACCTATCGCAGAGTAGTGCTCAGAAAATCCTTTGCATAAAAAAGCAAACTCGGCCAGGAGCGGTAGCTCATGCTTGTAATCCCAGCACTTTGAGAGGCTAAGGCAGGGGGATCACTTGCGGTAAGGGGGTCAAGACCAGGCTGGTCAACATGGTGAAACTCAATCTCTACTAATAATAAAAAATTAGCCAGGCGTGGTGGCACTTGCCTGTAATCTCAGCTACTTGGGAGGCTGAGGCAGAAGAATGGTTGGAACTTGGGAGGCAGAGATAGCAGTGAGCCAAGATTGTGCCACTGCACTCCAGACTGGGTGACAGATTTCATCTAAAAAAAAAAGCAAACTGTTCTGGTTCTTTAAGGGAAGTCACTGGAGTCTACTGCAGGGATCACATGCACAGGCTGTGATGTCAGACAGGCCTGCATCTGAATCCTGGCTCTGATACTCGGTAGCTCTCTTAACTCAGGGGAGTTTTAGACTCCCTAGGCCTCCTATCCTTGCTTGAAAATGGGGATCACAGCAGTAGGGGTGCTGTGATGCTTCAATGAGCTCATGCTAGGAAAGCATCCAGCACATTGCCCGACACACAGGCTCAGAACAAACTTAATTACCATGGTTGGTCTTCAGCAGCCAACAGCCTTCCTGATAGCCTGCTCCTCTTCTGAGAACAGACCAAGAGGATCTGTGAGTTCCTGTAGCCTCAGCTCCTCCCATCATTCTCTTGACCCCAGGTCATCATAAAATTATGACGTAACTGAAGGAAACATGCATGGTTCATCCTTGTTCTTTATGGCTTGGATATTGAGCAATCACGAGACATTGGAATGTTATCTAGAACCACTATTTCTAGAGAAAACCTCCAGGATGGACATGGAACCAAAAATGCTCCTAGAGAGTGTGTTAGGAGTTGAACAATGTGCTTTCCAGTTTGCAGATGAGGGGGTGCTTGACTGTGGAAGGAGCCAGAGCTTTGCTCTCATATTCCAGTCCTGGCTCCAAATCTTGCAGGCTGTGAGACTGGGGCCAGCTACTTAACGTCTCTGAACACCATTGTCTCATGAGGCTGTTGTGAGAGTTGGAAATAATAAATAAAACCAAACAACCCAATGGGTGACACACAGTAACTGTTCAAAAACAGTACCTCCATGCTCTTCTGTCATTACTAGGATGGTTTCAGGGATAGAGAGAGACATCAGAGGTGTTCAGTGACCAATCAACCCCCTATAAAACCTTAGCCTCCCTCTAAGCGGACCCCAAGGGTGAGCCCGATAGCTTCGGAGAGAGCTCTGTGACTTGCCTCTGTTTGGAAAGCGGTGTCCCCTTAGAGATCAGAGGCGACTCTCCTGGGTCCCCACAGATCAGAACCCCACTCCTTGGTCCTGCTGGTTCGTCAGGCATCCCAGGCTGTGTCCAGGGACAGCCAGCTGAGGCTGTGAACTCCAGAGTCATCTTGGATTGGTGACTGGGGAGAGAGCATGAGACTGGGACCAAGCTCAAAAAGGACTTGGGAGGACAGTTAGTGGGTGGGTGGGGTGAAGAGGTTTGGGAAAAAGGAGAGTTTGGAGAAGGAGAAAGCAAGTCAGCCCAGCCAACGGAATGATGACTACAGCCTTTGTTTAGGCATCTTTGGAAGTGTTTGCAGATCTACAGGGTACAATAAACTGCCTAGTGGAAACATAGTCTCAGAGCACTGAGAAGTTTTATTTTTAATTCTTACTTAAATGAGAACTGTTATCTATCTCGGGAGATCTTTTCACCTTGAGGTCATGAATTGGAGCCTGGGGACCTGGCCTCCACTCCTGCTCTGGCATTTTGTAGTTGAATGACCTCAGTGACACCCTTCGCCTCACTGGGCCCAGCTCTGTTCCTGTGAAAAGAAAGGATTGGAGAACTTGGTCTCTTAGGTTCCTGCTAACTGACATTTTGTAACACTTAGTTTCAGATTCCCAACCTCCCTTTCCTCTCCATTCTAATTTTTTTAAGAAGTGCAGGAACTAGAACTTAGAAAGAAAAAAAAACCGTACGCGAACTTTCTACATAATTTCCTAGGCACTTAGATCTGCATCCCAGGAAGCATATTAAAAATACTTATCCCCAGGACTCTCCTTTGGAATGGGACTCAGGAACATCTGTAAATTTAACAAGCTCCATAGGTGATTTTTTTAATGATCACACAATAATTAGCCTAAGCTGTCTTAAAGCAGCTGCTGAAAATTGAACCTGATTCAATCTTTAAAAGGCACATCTTTAAACTGTGGTAAAGGCCAAGGTCTCTGCTAGGGAACTGAAGCCAAGAATCTGAGAAAAGTGCAATGATGAACGCCAGCCTTCACCAGCTGGGCCTGGGATGTCTGTGAACCACTGAGGCCAAGATGAGAGCAGGGCCACGGGGACAGCGGGGTTGTGGGCTGTCATGTGACTATGTTCTTGGACCACCTCTCCTTTCATGCTGAACTGAAATGCTTGTCCACACTGTAGAGCACATGATCTTTGTTTCAGGATACGGGGCATGGGTGTCGGGTTGCTTTGCAGGAGCAGGAGAGAATGTGCAGCCACCTCCATCCAGCAGTCCTCTGTGGGAGGCAGTTGACTGGGACCCGGGTATTCAGCATCAGCAGCAGCCCACAGACCCACAACCATGGCCATCCAAAAAACAGAGCTCTGCAGTGGCTGATTTCCAGGAGGTCACAGTGTAGCTAGATGGCAGAAGCCCAGAACTTGGTGGCCTCCGTTTCAGGACGCTAGTGGCCTCTATGACTCACCAGAGGCAGAAAGCACAGCTTCTGCCATCTGGCTCTGACTGCAGGAGATAGCAGGGCAGAATTGGTTGTCCCTCTCAGCAGGTTTGGTGGATCTGCTTTGCCTCCTCACCTCTAACATCTGGGGTCACCCACCTCATCCTCCACCAGGACCCGGCCTTTCCCTGACATCTTCCCTCTGCTGGTTCGATGTAGTTTTGGGTGCCCTCAACAAGAGGCAATGCACGGACATTTCCTGTTGAAAACACAGTTTTGGTTGCTTGTGTTTAGTAGTAGGGAAAATGTCCACTGAAAGCAAAGGTAATGGAAAATAATTAGCATTTTAAAGAGCAGTAGCACTAAATAATGTTGAAATCAGCTTCTAACAGTTCCTAAACCCATGTTTTTGAAGAACTTCTATGGGCCAGTCATTCTTTCTCTCCTCCTCTCCCCATCTCCCCCAGCTAGGGCTTTGCATGCATTGACCTCCTGCCTTCATTTTATTCCTGCTCCCTTCCCTTCACTTGCATAATCTTGATTGACTTTCTCAAAAATAAACCTTGAATTTTAGAATAGGTTTGGATTCATAGAAAATTGTGAAGATAGTAATACAAGAGGTCCATACATACCCGACACTTAGTTTCTCCTAGTGTTCAGATGTTGTTACATGGGTAGGGGTCATCTGTCACAACCAAGAAGCCACTACTGATTATTATTAGCTAAAATCTATACTTTATGGATACTTCCTCAGTTCTTACCACATATCTTTTTTTCTGTACCAGGATCCCATCCTGGACACCACATAACATTTAGTGGTTGTGTGTCCTTTAGCTCCTCTATGGCTGTGACAAGTTCTCAGACTTTGTCAGGATGACTTTGTCTAAATGACTTTGACAGTTTGGGGAGGTTTGGGGATGACTTGTCAACTATTTTGCAGAAAGTCCATCAGGTGGACTTTGCCTGGTATTTTCCCCATGATTAGACTGGAGTTGCAGGGTTTGAGGAAAAAGCCACTGAGGTAAAGGCACATGCCACCGACATAACTTAGCTTTGTCTGCCTTACTCACCTGGCTGAGGGAGTCTGTCTGCTTTCTCTACTGTAAAGTTACTCTTTTTCCCATTTCCCATTCAGTACTCTTTGGAGGTAAGTCACCGTATGCAGCCCACATTTAAGGGAGGGGAAGTTATAGTCTACCTCCTTGGGATAGGGATATCTACGTAAATTATTTTAAATTCTTCTATATGAGAGGTTTGTCTGCTCTCCCTTATTTTTAGTTATATATTCAATCATATGTTGATACCAATTAATCTCATGCATATTTATTGTATTCCTTAGGTCATAATCTAGTACTACCTTATTAATTTTGTTACTCAAATTATTCCACCTGTGGCCACTAGGAGCTCTTTCAGTTGGCTCCTGTATCCCTTTGACACACCACATTGTTGAGTGTTTGTGCACTTGTGTGTGTGTTATGTACTTACATTCTGGCACTATGAGACATGCCAGGCTCTTCTCCTGTATGCCCTGCTCAGCCCTAGAATCCACAGTATCTGCCAGGAGCTCTCGTTCCTTTCTTTATAGACTGGTATTAGAAGTCAGGATCTGGGTGATGTGTGTGTTCCATACTTCCGGGATTCCATTGCTTCCAAGCCCTGCTAACCGACAGAGTAAGGAAAGATATTTGAGTGTCCTAACCCATATCTATACAAATATCTATAAATATTCCCCTAGGGATTCATTGCTATCTATATTAAACTAAGTAGGAGTTAATACTAAAATATCCAACTTTAATCCAGGACAACATGATCACTCTAACATTCCTCAACCTCCTCCTCCAACAGTGAGAAAACTGGCTTCCATCATCCTGCATCCATCAATTATTTGATTCCATTATCCCTGTGTTGTGTTTTCAAAATCGTTAGCCAATGCCCCTGTAGAAAGCAGCCTTACCCTGGTTCAACATACACAAATCAAAAAATGTAATTCATCACATAAAGATAATTAAAGACAAAAACCACGATTATCTCAATAGATGCAGAAGAGGCCTTCAACAAAATTCAACATACCTTCATGTTAAAAACTCTCAATAAACTAGGTATTGAAGGAATATACCTCAAAATAATAAGATCCTTTATGACAAACCCACAGCCAATATCATACTGAATGGGCAAAAGCAAGAAGCATTCCCCCTTGAAAACTGGCACGAGACATGGATGCTCTCTTTCACCACTCCAAATCAACATAGTGTTGGCAGTTCCAGCCAAGGCAATCAGGCAAACAAAAGAAACAAAGGGTATTCAAATAAGAAGAGAGGAAGTCAAATTGTCTTTGTTTGCAGATGACATGATCCTGCATCTAGAAAACCTCATTGACTCAGCCTAAAAGCTTCTTAGACTGATAAGCAACTTCAGCAAAGTCTCAGGATACAAACCAATGGGCAAAAATGTCAAGCATTCCTATACACCAACAACAGACAAGCAGAGAGCCAAATTATGTGAATGGGAATTCATAATTGCCACAAAGAGAACAAAATACTTAGGAATATAGCTAACAAGGGAAGTGAAGAACCTCTTCAAGGAGAACTACAAACCACTGTTCAAGGAAATCAGAGAGCGCACAAGCAGATGGAAAAATATTCCATGCTCATGGTTAGGAAGAATCAATATCATGAAAATGGCCATACTGCCCAAAACAATTTATAGATCCAATGCCATTCCCATTAAACTACCATTGACATTCTTCACAGAATTTAAAAAAAAAAAAAAATTTAACATTCAAATGGAACCAAAAAAGAGCCAAGAAAATCCTAAGCAAAAAGAACAAAGCTGGAGGCATCACACTACCAGATTTCAAACTATACTATAAGGCTACCACAACTGAAAGAGCATGGTTACTGGCACAAAAACAGGCACATAGACCAATGGAACAGAATAGAGAACTCAGAAATAAAACTGAACATCTACAACCATCTGATCTTTGACAAATCTGACAAAAAAGAGCAATGGGGAAAGTATTCCCTATTTAATAAATGGTTCTGGGAAAACTGGTTAGCCATATGAAGAAAATTGAAACTGGATCCCTTCTTTACACCTTATACAAAAATCAACTCAAGATGGATAAAAGACCTAAATGTAAAACGCAAAACTATAAAAACCCTAGAAGAAAGTCTAGGCAATACCATTCAGGACATAGGCATGTGCAAAGATTTTATAATGAAATCGCCAAAGCAATTGGAACAAAAGCAAAAGTTGATAAATGGGATCTAATTGAACTAAAGAGCTTCTGCACAGCAAAAGAAACTATCATCAGAGTGAGTAGACAACCTACAGAATGGGAGAAAATTTTTGCAATCTCTCCATCAGACGGAGGTCTAATATTCAGAATCTACAAGGAACTTAAGCAAATTTACAAGAAAACAAAAACAACCACATTAAAAAGTGGGCAAAGGATATGAATAGACACATCTCAAAAAAAGACATTCATGTGGCCAAAAACATACGGAAAAAAGCTCAAAATTACTGGTCATTAGAGAAATGCAAATTAAAACCACAATGAGATACCATCTCACGCCAGTCAGAAAGGTGATTATTAAAAAGTCAAGAAACAACAGATCACTTTGGGAGTCCGAGGCAGGCAGATCACAAGGTCAGGAGATCGAGACCATCCTGGCTAACATGGTGAAACCCTGTCTCTACTAAAAATACAAAAAATTAGCCGGGCATGGTGGTGGGTGCCTGTTTTCCCAGCTACTCAGGAGGCTGAGGAAGGAGAATGGCGTGAACCCAGGAGGCGCAGCTTGCAGTGAGCCAAGATCACGCTACTGCACTTCAGCCTGGGTGACAGAGTGAGACTCTGTCTCAAAAAAAAAAAAAAAAGGAAAAAGAAAGAAAAAAGAAACAACAGATAGATGCTGGCAAAGTTGCAAAGAAATAGGAATGCTTTTACACTGTTGATGGGAATGTAAATTAGTTCAACCATTATGGAAAACAGTGTGGCAATTTCTCAGAACTTTAGAACCAGAAATATCATTTGACCCAGTAGTTTTCATTTCTTTGATATATACCAAAGAAATATAACTCACTCTATTACAAAGACGCATGCACATGTATGCTGAATACAACACCATTCACAATAGCAAAGACATGGAATCAATCCAAATGCTCACAATGATAGACTGGATAAAGAAAATGTGGGGAGTCACTGGCAAGATGGCTGAATAGGAACAGCTCTGGTCTGCAGCTCCCAGTGAGGTTGACACAGAAGACAGGTGATTTCTGCATCTCCAACTGAGGTACGCAGTTCATCTAATTGGGACTGGTTGGACAGTGGGTACAGCCTACGGAGGGTGAGCCAAAGCAGGATGGGGTGTCCCCTCAACCGGGAAGCACAAGGGGTTGGGGAATTTTCCTCCTCTAGCCAAGGGAAGCCGTGAGAGAATGTACCAGGAGGAATGGTGCACTCTGGCCCAGATACTGTGCTTTTCCCACAGTCTTCGCAACCAGCAGACCAGGAAATTCCCTCTGGTACCGATGCCACCAGGGCCCTGGGTTTTGAGCACAAACCTGGGCAGCCGTTTGGGCAGACACTGAGCTAGCTGCAGGACTTCCTTCCTTCCTTCCTTCCTTCCTTCCTTCCTTCCTTTCTTTCTTTCTCCTTCCTTCCTTCCTTCCTTCCTTCCTTCCTTCCTTCCTTCCTTCCTTCCTTCCTTTCTCTCTCTCTCTCTTTCTTTTCTTTTCTTTTCTTTTCTTTTCTTTTCTTTTCTTTTCTTTTTTCATACCCCAGTGGCATCTGCAACACCAGTGAGACAGAACTGTTCACTCCCCTGGAAAGGGGGTTGAAGCCAGGGAGCCAAGTCGTCTGGCTCAGTGGGTCCCAACCCCGTGGAGCCCAGAAAGCAAAGATCCACTGGCTTAAAATTCTCACTGCCAGCACAGCAGTCTGACATTGATCTGGGACACTTGAACTTGGTAGGAGAAGGGGTGTCCGCTTTGCTGAGGCTCAAGTATGCAGTTTTACCCTCACAGTGTAAACAACACTGCTGGGAAGTTTGAACTGGGTGGACCCCACCGCAATTCAGCAAGGCCACTGCAGCCAGACTGCCTTTCTAAATTTGTCCTGTCTGGGCAGAGCATCTCTGAGAAAAAGGCAGCTGCCCCAATCAGGGACTTATAGATAAAACCCCCATCTCCCTGGGACAGAGCACCTGGGGGAAGGGGCGGCTATGGGCATACCTTCAGCAGACTTAAACGTCCCTGCCTTACAGCTCTGAAGGGAGCAGCAGATCTCCTGGCACAGCATTCAAGCTCTGATAAGGGACAGACTGCCTCCTCAAGTGGGTCCCTGACCCCTGTGTATCCTAACTGGGAGACACCTCCCAATAGTGGCTGACACACACCTCATACAGGAGAGCTCTTGTTGGCAGGGCTTTCAGAGGGAGGAACAGACAGCAATCTTTACTGTTCTACAGTACCTGCTGGTGATACCCAGGCAAACAGGGTCTGGAGTGGACCTCCAGGAAACTCCAGCAGACCTGCAGCAGAGAGGCTTGACAGTTAGAAGGAAAACTAACAAACAGAAAGGAACAGTATCAACATCAACAAAAAGGATGTCCACTCAGAGACCCCATCTGAAGGTCACCAACATCAAAGACCAAAGGTATATAAATCCACAAAGATGGGGAGAAACAAGCGCAAAAAGACTGAGAATTCCAAAAACCAGAATGCCTCTTCTTCTCCAAAGGATCACAATTCCTCACCAGCAAGGGAACAAAACTGGATGGAGAATGAGTTTGATGAATTGACAGAAGTGGGCTCCAGAAGATGGGTAATAACAAACTCTTCTGAGCTAAACGAACATGTTCTAACCCAATGCAAGGAAGCTAAGAACCTTGAAAAAAGGTTAGAGTAATTGCTAATTTGAATAACCAATTTAGAGAAGAACACAAATGACCTGGTGGAGCTGAAAAACACAACATAAGAACTTAGTGAAGCCTACACAAGTATCAAGAGCCGAATCAATCAAGCAGAAGAAAGAATATCAGAGATTGAAGAGCAACACAATGAAATGAAGCGAGAAGACAAGATCAGAGAAAAAAGAGTGAAAGAAACTAACAAAACCTTTAAGTAATATGGGACCATGTGAAAAGACCAAATCTACATTTGATTGGTGTACCTGAAAGTGATGGCAAGACTGGAACCAAGTTGGAAAACACTCTTTAGGATATTATCCAGGAGAACGTCCCCAACCTAGAAAGACAGGCCAATATTCAAATTCAGGAAATACAGAGAACACAACAAAGATACTCCTTGAGAAGAGCAACCCCCAAGACACATAATCATTAGATTCACCAAGGTTGAAATGAAGGAAAATATGATAAGCGCTGCCAGAGAGAAATGTCAGGTTACCCATAAAGGGAAGCCCATCAGACTAACAGCAGATCTCTCTGCAGAAACCCTACAAGTCAGAAGAAAGTGGGGGCCAATATTTAACATTTGTTAAATAATTTTCACCCTAGAATTTCATATCCAGCCAAACTCAGTTTCATAAATGAAGGAGAAATAGAATCCTTTACAGACAAACAAATGCTGAGAAATTTTGTCACCACCAGGCCTGCCATACGAGAGCTCCTGAAGGAAGCACTAAACATGGAAAGGAA